CATTTATATATTCAATCATTTATTTATATCTCCTGACTCATGAATATTTATTTTATACTTGGGTTATAATCCAAAATTACTGAATTTGTTTCTCTGGTTGCATTTTAACTTTGATAATTGTGTTTTAGTTGGCTTCTGTGTCCTTTTGATATACCTCCATAATTTTGTTTGTGTGTGAAGTTTGTATTTTAACATTCCTTTTTTTCTGCCTCTATAATTTGTTTCAGGGTCATTTTGCAAACTTTCAACCTCAGGCCTACAATCACAGTAGGAATGACTTACAATAGGGACAAAATTTGGACTGATGACTTTTACTTAACCTTGCACCAAAAAGCTATTCTTTCTGATGTAAACAAGAACAAGCTCACTGAGCCGTGTGACTTGGCACATGACCTTGATGCCTCGGCATTCCACTTTGCCCTCCACCAGAGATAGTGAATGAGTGTGGGTGTGCTTGAATTAGCATATAAAAGCCCTGAGGATGGGTGTATTTGTATTTATATACTCATTGGAAGCTGTAAGAATAATTGAGAAGTGTGTTTGACATTATGTTTGTGAGCTATTTTAGGCTTAGGGATCAAAGCATCAAGTTGTCTGATAAAGGTGGATCCAAGCTTGTATCTCCCCACTTCATGCTGGAGAGTATTTGAATATAAATATGGATGAGGTCTGTCTCAGGAGCACAGTTCCATGAAACATCAAAAGGAGCAAACTCTCAGAGTATGGGTCTACTCTTAGCTATAAAACTAATGCCAAGAGTCAGACTGATTGTTTATTCAGGTATCACTGTAAATATGGCTTAGAAATGCTGTAATCAGCTACTTCTTTAAGAAACTGCTATTCCTTTTACTCAAAGCAGTATTAGAAAACAAGTTCCAGGGGCTTGGTATGCTCACGACTCCTGAGTATCATTGCCTTTAGGACTTCTCGACTGACAGATGCAGGAAGTGTATGTGTGTATTTAACGCTAATATAACACTCTTCCATATATATATATGGAGCACTATATTAGTGTATTATATATAATATATATAACACTCCATATATATATGGAGTGTATATGTATAGTGTATATGTATTATATTTATATAAATTAGCAAATTTTATCTCACTGACATAGGCTTAAACATGGAATAAAAAAGAAAAATATACAAAATTTTTAAGCTTCACGATGATTATGAAAATTAGTTAGACAGTGTTGCCATGCCTAGACTACCTTGATAGAAACTGGGTAAGTGTTCTAGTTTCATTTCCATTCCTGTGATACACACCCTTTAAAAAAGCAATTTAGGGGTATATTTCAGAGGAAAGGCTGTATTTCAGCTTACAGTTCCAGATTATAATGCATCATTTTGGCAAACTCAAGGCGGGAGTTTCAAACAGCTAATCATTTTGAATCCATAGCAAAGAGCCAAGAGGAATTAATGTATGCATTCTCCCTTGCTTGCTTGTGCTCAGCTGCATTTCTCCACTTTTACAGGGTTCAGCCCCGCCCCCAACCTAGGTAATGTTGTCACTCACAATGGGCTGGGTCTTCCCACATCAATTAACTTATTAAGACAAGTCTTCACAGACATGCCCACAGGCCAACCCAAAGTAGACAATCCCTCACTGAGATCCTCTTACCACTTGATTCTAGGTTGTGTCAAATTGACAATTAAAAGTAATCATCACAGTAGGTATAGTTGTTCTCTTTCTTCCTCTTTGTCTCTGTCTCTGTCTCTATCTCTCTCTCTTACATGCATTCAACTAGCCACAGCTCAATAATAGTATCATATCATCATATCATCTTCGTAAGACTTCAAAAAACGCCTTAGAAATATTGTTTCAGTGCTGGAGAAATGCCTTATTTGTGTAGTTCCTGCTACAGAAAGGAGAATGAGGACCTTTAATGAATGAACAACCACAATAAAATATTTTATTTACTTTTTAAAATGGCAAAAACAAGCTTGTCTAGAAGACAAATGATTTTCATGATGGTACCTTAGGGTAGCCAGGTGCTGACAACACCTCTACCTTATCAGTCAGATCCCTTCATAAATCCTATTAACCATGTTTCTAAAAGGGAAGTGGGTACTTGTGGAAAATCTTGTGACTGGTTTTGCCTTTTGCCTTACATACCTATCATGCTGGAATGCAGTGCTTCCTGTTTCTTATCAGAGGGAAAACTATGTAAGTCACATGGTTTCCAGGAATCTGAAACTTAGAGAAACTGAAACTTACCATGCTAATAGGGCATCTGACCCGCTAGATTGTAATAGGACACTAGTCTGCCATGCTAATAAGGGATCCCATATGCTGTGTTATGATTGGACTATTACCCTTATATGAGCCCATACTTTCCTGCAATAAAGCAGATCTGTGTCACTGAACCTGGTCTCCTGCATCTGAAGGTGGCGACACTAGCGCGGACTCCTCACCAGCCCTGGAGTCAAGACTGGAGGACTGATCGGAGGAACTGAGAGAGCAGGAGAGTGACTATAGCTGGAGGAGAGCAGCCACAGCCGGCGACCACAGGTACTACCTGGAAACTTCCTCAGCAAAAGTAGGGGAGGGTCAGATCTTCCCAACCAAAGACATTTATGAGACCTCTCTGGTAAACTTACCAATATAAGACTAAGGATGTTAGGGGAAAATACGGTGAATAGCATGAGATCTGCCTGAGTTGTGTTGTTCTTAAAGGAAGGAACTCCAACTGCTTCCTACCTGGAGATAAACTGACAGGAACAATCCTTTGGTTTTGATTTCAGTTCTTGAAGATAGAACAACACAAGAATGTGATCACCAAATATGGATATTGCCTGGAAGAGTACCACATTTGAATCTGTAATGGCTAAATGCTAAAGGTTTGTCCCCACAGTGGGGATATTGGGAGGCTGTCAAACATTTAAGAGGTAGGACTCTCTTTAGGTCATTGGTGATGTGCACATGACAGAAATAGTGGGAGTCTCCCCCTACCCCCTTTCTTTTTTTTCCTTCAGGTCACAGGCATGAGGAGAGAATCTTTACACCACCATGTGCTTCTGCTTGAACTGTCTTACCACAGCTCAAAGTTGCAGTGCCAGCTGATCGTGGACTGAAACCATGAGCCAAAATAAACTTTTTGGCTTTATAAATTTGTTGCTTCAGCTATTTGTTACAGTAATGGAAAGCTAACATAAAAAGCTATTTGCCTTTTTATTGTTTTTTGTAAATACGTATTATAGAACTAATGAGACCATTTCTTAGTTCACGTACAGCCAACTGACAGCTAAATTCTTAGTAGAATAATAGTGTTGATGTGTGATCACAGACCCATCCACCGTTATCCGTGCACAGAAAGATTAATTTGTAAGCATATGAATCAGATATTTTTATCATCCAAAGCCTGTTTTTCTCACAATCACACAAAAGATGGTTTTTGGTTATTACAAAAATGATACAAAAACTTATGGTTGTAAAGCTTTTAAAGAGTATGAACCTACATTCACTATAATTTCTTTTTGGATCACAATAGCACCTAGCATAATAATCATTAAAAAGTTGACCTCAGTGTTTCATCTTCTTCTGTTGACTGCTTTCCTGGGCTAGAATTTTGTTCAAACCAGTTTTTAAGTCAGTTGCATCCAACCTCCCTTTGTCTTCCTCTATCCTTAGCATCTTGTAGAACACCAAGAAGGGACGAGCAGCCTTCATATTTGGCATTCAGATGCTGGAATAATCTTCCCTATTTGGTAGCCCTCTTAAGCAGTTTTGCATGCTAAGCAATTTTGGTGCATCCCAAGCCCCCAGAGAGTGAAAGCAGATTATAAATGTAGGCGAGTCAGACGTGGGAAGAAATCACCTCAAACATTTACTTTCCTGCTGCTTCCAGAGTTCACTTAAATAAGTTATAATCCTTTATTCTTTTAATATCATCACCATTTAATATTAAACACAAATCTCTTTCTCAACTGTACCACCATGAAACCTGTAAGAAATTTTTTCCTTTTCTCCTTTAATCAGCTAGTTCTTTAAGATACTTCTTTATATATAGATGTACATTATGAAAATCTTCAATTAATATATTTAATTATAAAAAGTGACATATTACTCTAATCACTAATGAAATAAGTTTTGAGGGATTTTAAGAGCCAACAGTATTCTTATTAACAGAGTAAGATCTCTATAAAATCTAACTCTAACTCCCATCTTTACCCCTGCCAAAAGAAAATCCATTGTAGAGTTGACTAAAAATCATTGAAATACAAAAAGTGGAAGACAGAAACATAAAACAATAAAAACATACTAAAATATGGTAATGGGTATATTGTTTTCATGTAGTTAGTTGCTTATATTATACATAAATGATCACATAATATCAAATAACCAGTTCAAGCTATTAAATTTTTTTTAATTTCTGAAATAAGTTTTTTTATTAAAAAGGAAAAAGCTAAAAAGTAAAATTCAAATACATTTATAGCAACTTTTTTAGTTGTGACTTCTCAATGATATTTGAATTGTATGAATGTGGAAGTTGTAGAATCTGCAGTTAGTAAAACAAGTTCATAAAGCCCAGTCTGCCCTAAGCAATCCAGTTAGGGTTGTGTAACCCAGTCAGTCTGGAGTAATCTAGTGTGATTGTGTCAATTCTGCCATCCCCGAGCAAGCTAGTTAGAGCTGTGTAAATGCTATTGTTCTTGAGCAATCCAGTTAGCTTTATCCACACCTAGTCAGTCCTGAGTAATTCAGTTAGGTTAAGAGACACAGTGTAGACACAGACTATACTTAAAAATATAAATGAATTCTAATTGCTTCTATCTTACTCAAATTTAAACACTTAAGGTATTTTCACTTTTGAATCAGCTATACAGTCTCAAATATCAGTAGGTCTTGTGTATTGTCCCAATAAAATTCATTGCAAACATATACATGGAAGAGTTTTACATCAGGACGTGGCTATAGCCTTGGATGATGGGATAAATTCAAATCTTTTCTGTTTGTTTGGTTGTTTGGAAGCTGACCTCTTTGTTATCTCCTACCTGCAGATGTTGTCACAATTTCTGTGGTGTTTCTGAGGCCCATGAAGTCAAACTGATAGAGTCGCCATGATTTCTGATCAGCTGCCTCAACTGAATTTTTCCTCCAGCGATAAATCATTTCTTCTTTGGGGTAGCCATCTAAAAACAGAGCAAACATTAGCACCTGGAAATGTCGGCTTGCAAATCATTAAGTTAAAATATATTTCCAATTGACAATCTAGTAATAGTTACAATTTTAGGCCCTCATTGCTCTCAAATTTTCCTCAGGAACATAGAAATTCCAAAAGACATACATACATACATACATACGTGTGTGTGTGTGTGTGTGTCTTTATGATGACCAAGGGGTACATACATACGTGTGTGTGTGTGTGTGTGTGTGTGTGTGTGTGTGTGTGTCTTTATGATGACCAAGGAGTTACAGAACCAAAATCCTAACCACATCTGCATGGATGCAGTAAGTGTGAGGCTGCTGCCTCTATTTCTTTAACCTTGGTGGTGGGTTGACCTTTCAAGAGTGGAGGTGTTTGCCAGTGTGGTAGGAACTGCACTAGCTCTGTTATCCCAGCCTATGCCCAGGACCTAACATTTATCAACCAGGACCACCCTTATGTGAATGGTAGAGATTGCGTTCTTGGAAATGCCTAGCATGCGCAGCAGCTCACATTAATCTTATAGGATTGAATATGCCAGTCTGGACTGTCTGACTGGCAGGGCAGGAATTGCATGTGGACAAACGCACAGTGTATGTAACTCACCTTAACAGACAAAGTTCTTCAGTATACACAGTCTCATGGCACACTCTCCTACGCTGTAGGCTTTACTCTTGTTACTGCCTAGTCCAGTACTCTTTGTAGTGTCCAAGTAAACTTTCATTTCTGTTGCTTTGTCTAAAGGGTGAATTTATTCTTTTCCCAGGAATCCCTTCCTCTGCTACAGTGGTGACCTGTGCAAGACAGATTATTTCTCTTGCAAATAAGGTCTTAAGTGACTATATTAGTTACCATGTGAATTGGGTATGTAGAGGGGGGTCATCTTGCCTTCTGAGAGTCACACCTTCCTGCATGCTCCCACTTACTCCATGTGTGTTTGTAACATGATATAAAGAACCCGAGGCCCTCACCATAAACCAAACAAACCTTGGAGCTATCTTCTTATACCTCAGAATCACTAGTTAAAATAATATTCTTTATAAGCCATCCAGGCTCAGATGTTTTGATATAACAATGGAAAACTGTCTAAAACAGTCCTACAGGTATTAGTCTCTAGCTTGGATCAGCAAGTTTAACCTCTTTAAGGCACTAGTTCTAAGGTTGTAAATGAATTCAGGAAGCAAGATGTAGGTTTTTCTTCTACTGTACGCCATCTTGGTGCCTGGTGAGGGCGGGATGCCATGCACCCTGCTTTTACTAGAGTATTACTGGGGTTTAGTGGTTCCCTGGGCCTGCATTAGATAGTGGAGAGCCTGCTTCCCTGGCTGCATTTCTGCTCTTGGATTCATCTTTAGTACTATTCTTAGAACAGTACAGCTTACTCTGTGCTGGAGTTCTTCTGACCAGAAGGCTGACCTTCAGTACACCTACTTTCTTTGTCTTGTCCTTTCAAGGGCTCTACAGCTACCTCTGTGCCACAGGTCTTGCCTCACTCCTGAGGATATCTCTACTCTCAGGCTGTCCCCAGCACCTGAGAGCATAGCCATTATCAGCTCTCTATTGACTCATATCAACACTGAAGGTGTGTTTCTGGACATGTATGCCTCATCTTGAGTTATCCTGAGCACAAATAGCATTACACTGATGTACTCACACTTCTGTAAACACCTCTGCTGGTGAACACTGATGCCTAAACAGTTATCTGTCATTATTAATTGTCTGTCCTTACAAATTTTCTTATTTCATAAAACAGAAAAATGACACATGCAATCATCTGGAATTGTATTTATTAACTTGGTGTTATGAATAATGACCAGTTTACTCATATTGTATCAGCACTGACTACATTCTTGCTTAGACTCAAACAATATTCCACAGTGTGAACAGACCATGTTTTGTTTATCCACTCATTTAATCTGTTGAGTTCACTTTTCACCATTATGAATAATGTTACTATGAACACTTTTGTCCAAGATTCTGTGTTGGCTGTGCCCTTCCTTCGATTTTCTGTGAACATACAACTGTTCTAAAGCACAAATGTGTAGAATCTAGAATCTTGTCATTTTGAGGAACTGCCAGACTATCTTCTAAAGTGAGCTCACTTTAAAATTCTACCAGGCAAACCCAACGTTTTATAATAATTGTGCTCATTATAAAATTGTACCTCATTGTCTTTTAATTTTTATGTTCATGATTCAATTTAACTTTTAAAAAAATTATGTGTATAAGAGTGTGTCTGGGTATGGGTATATGCATGTGAGCGCAGATGCCTATGGAAGCCAGAGGCGTTGGATCCTCCAGGAGCTGGATTTGTAGGTGGTTGTGAGTTGCCTGATGTGGTTGCTGGGATCTGAACTCAGGTGTTCTGAAAGAGCAATACATGCTCTTAACCACTAAGCCATCCAGTCAGCCCATGTTCATGATAACTGATAAACTGATAAAGTTTTCATGGATTTATTGACCATATGAATGTTATTTTTGGCAATATGTTATTAAGATCTTTGGCCATTTTGAAATTAGATTTTTATGTTGATACCTTTTAAAGATACATGGCATATAAGTTCT